GTTGGATGTTGTTGCTTGATCCATTATTCCAGTCTGTGACTTTTAATTGGTGAATTGAGATGACTTACATTAATGGTTATAACTGTTACATATTGGTTTGTTGCTGACATGTTATCTTTCTGCTGTTGCATCTTTATCTTTCTGTTCTGTTTAATTGTCTGCTTTGTTTAGTGTTTTTTTTTCTAAGTGTATCTAAACTGTCTTTCAGTATTCTTTGCAGGGTTGGCATGGTGATCATGAAGTTCTTCAGCTGTTCTTTGTCATGGAAGTATCTTATTTCTCCCTCCGTTTTGAAGGACAGTTTTGCAAAGTACATCAGTCTATGTTGAAAGTCATTTTCCTTTAGTAACTGAAATACTTTGCTCCATGCTCTTCTTGATTTCATTGCTTGTGTTGAGAAGTCTACTGTGATTCTGATAGGTTTTCTTTATAAGTGATCTATCTTTTCTCTCTGACAGCTTTTAATATTCTGTTCTTATGTTGGATTTATGCATGGTTATTATTATATGTCTGGGTCTAGTTTTATTTTGGTTATGGCTGCTTGGAGTTCCATATGTCTCACTAATCCAAATGTCAGTTTCTATTCTCATGTTTGGAAAATTTTCAGCTATTATTTCTGTAAATAGCCTCTTGATATCATTTGTGGGGTCCCCTTCTTTTTTATTTATCCCTGTCAACCTTATGTTGTTTTTCTTTCCATCATCTTGCAGCTGTTGAATTGTTATTTCCTGATTCCTTTTTATTTTTAAAAGATCTTTACTGTTCACTAGCTGCAATCTTGTCTTCGACGTCTGAAATTCTATCTTCACTTTCATTGATGTGGCTTTGACAACTTTCAATGGAATTTCTGATTTCCTTTGTGTCTCCTTGAGTTTGCTTCATATATTCTGTTTGTTTCCTCTATTGTTCATCCAGGGATTCCATGGTTTTGTTTTGTTCCTCTAATTTTTTAACTCTGTCTTCTTTAGATGTGTTCAGCATCTCTTTCATTACTTTTATCATTTATTCTTTAATCTGTGAGATTACTTCTAATTTGAATTCTTTTAAAGCTTCCTGGAGTTTCTTCTTCATTTCTGTTGCATTATTTCACATGGCATATATTTTCTTCTATGTACATAGCTCCTAGGTTATCTTGGGATGAGTTATAGGTTTGAGATTGCATTTTGGTCTTTCATCTTGTCATTTTCCTATATATTTCTGTGTTTTAAGTGATGTTCCAAAGGTTACCCTGGACATGTTGGAGATTGCCTCCTATGCCCTTGGCTCCTGGGACTGAATGGAGGCTGCTGAGCATGGTCCAGTCAGATCCACGGGACCTCCTGTACCACTTCTGGTGTTCTAGGAAGCTGGGCGGGCTCCTAACCACTGTGGGTGATTGTCCAAAGCTCTCCCCAGGCAAGCACCAATGCACTGGAACTCACTTCACGTGCCCTCCGCTCTCCTGATTGAGGAAAGTCACTGGGTGTGGTCTAGTCAGGCTGCAAAACCTCCCTAGGCTAGTCTAGTGTGGCTGGAAGCTGGGCAGGCACTTAAACTGCTGGGATAGATGATCTTAAACTCTCCAGAGGCCCACACTAGTGTGTTTGAACTCACCTAGGACAGTGCCCCAGTTCCCTGGATTGAAAGAATGTCACTGGGTGTGGCCCAGTCAGGCCAGAAACCTTCAGAACTCAGTCTAGTGTGACTGGAAGCTGGATGGGTCCTTAAACAATGGGTGTGATGATCTTAAACTATCCCCAGACTGGCGCTGGTGTTCTGCACCCACCTTGGGCAGCCCCAATTCCCCAGATTGAAAAAAGCCCATTGCAGTTTAGTTTCTGTTCATGACTTTTCTGCCTACTCCTCTGTCTTCAAGATTTCTACCTACTTTCTCTTACAGTAGAGTGTTTTGTTTTAATATTTAGCTATTTGATCCATTTTGACTTTGGCTTAGTGCATGGTGATAAACATGAGTCAAGTTTAAGTCTTTGGCATGTGGAAAGCCAGTTTTTCAGCACCACTTATTAAAGATGGTTTCTTCAAGTGAACATGTTTTACTACTTTGTCAAAGATCAAGTGACTGAGTGTGATTGTAGTTTTGCCTTCCTCTTTTAATTTGTTCCTTTGGCTCTCAGGTCTGCTGCTCTTTTTTTTTTTTTTTTTTTTTTTGTTGTTGTTGTTCCAGCACCATATCAATTTATTACAGTAGCTTCTTTGTAGTATAATTTCACGTCAGGGATTGTGATGCCTCCAACCTTGATTTTGTTGCCCAGGATTGCCTTTGCTATTTTAGGTGTCTTCTGCTTCCAAATGAATTTTAAAATTATTTTCTCTAGGTTTGTGAGGTATGCTAAAGATATTCTGATTGGGATTGGATTAAATCTGTATAAGAGCTTTGGGATTATGGCAAATTTTCAAAATGTTGGTTCTTCCTATCCATGAGCAAGGAATTGTTTCATTTTTTGATATTCTGTTTGATCTATTTTCTTAGAGTTCTGTAATTTTCAATGTATCAATCTTTTATTTCATGTGTTAGATCAATTCCTAAGTATTTCAGGGTTTTTTTTTTTTGGATGCTATTTTGAAGAGTATGGTTTCCTTAGTCTCTCTCACTGAATTTGTTGTTTGTGTATAGGAATGCTATTGATTTTTGACTGATGACTTTGTATCCAGCTATGACATAGAACTTATTAATTTAAAAGTCTTTTGCTGGAGCTTTTTGGGTTTTCTCTGTAAGGTATCATCTCATTTTGCAAATAGTGGTAGTTTACTTTCTTCCTTTCCTATCCTTCCTTTTATTTATCTACCTTGTCTAATTGTTCTGTTTCCAGAACTATATTGAATAGGAGTGGTCATAGTGGACATCCTTGGCTTGTTCTTTATTTCAGATTGAAAGTCTCAGTTTTTTTCCATTTAATATATTGGCTGTTCATTTGTCATAGATGGTTTATACCATATTGAGGTAAAGACCATCTATTTTCTTTTTTTTTTGTAGGGTTACTAGCATAAAGGAGTGTTGAACTTTATTACAAGCTTTTTCTGCATCTATTGAGATGATCAGTAATTTGGTCTTTTGCTCTGTTATGGTGTATCGATGTTATGGTAAACGATATGGTGTATTGTTTATTGATTTGTGCATATGGAACTATCCCTGCATGCCTGGAATTAATCCCAATTGGTATAATGTTCTTGATGATGTGCTGCATTCTGTTTGCTAGTCTTTTATTCAGGATTTTTGCATCTGTGTTCATTAGGGAGACTGGCCTGTACTTTCCTTTTTTGATTGGGTCTTTCTCTGGTTTTGGTATCAGAGTAATATCTTAAGTGCTTTGAACTTCAAGTAAATAATATAACTTACTTATGGTACTCAATGGAGACTTTTAAAAGATGATTTGCTTACACTTGCAAATATTAAGCAAAGATTTAATACTTCTTGCAACATGCCTCAACATTTACAGTACAATGGGAAATCTTGCAGTACATCTATTTATGAGGGTCCTGAGATTACATATTAATTCATCCAAAGGGAAAAATGTGCATTGGGAACTAATGTCTGTTAGTTGAGTGAAAGTGCCAGTAAGAAATCTAAAGTGATAAAATCTATCATATTGTCTCTATTCACCTACTAAAACTGTTCTTCTGATCAGTCCTGTTTGACAATGAATATCTGCTGAATTATAATTGGTAACTGTCACCTAAGCTGTTTAATTAAATTTAATTTACTGTGATTTATGTTCATATCAGAGAATCAGTTACTCTGCAAAAGTATTTTCAGAACTAGGCATATTTTTTAGTTTTGAAAATGATAGTACTAAATACTATAAATATTTGCCTAAGTTATGTGCTAATTTTCCCTCATCCAATTTCCACTCAAATGAATTCTGTCTAGTATTTTGAATTTGTACTGTTTTTTCATATAGGTAATTGTGATATAACCTCTTGTTACATGTTCTGATATAAAAAAATTGATCTTTTGTGGAAATTTTGTAATTAGAGGAAGAAAATCAGTCATATAACCCTTTCACACAGAATAATATTTTTATTAATATTCTGATATATTTATTTCTTACGTTTTGTCTGTTTGTATATAAATTTTTGTCTAGAAAATTAATCTTACAAGCTAGGAATGGTACACTTGCATACAATCCAAGCTACTTGCGAGGCTGAGGCAAACTGGTTACTTGAACCCCAAATTTCAAGGTCACCACAGACAATATAGCATCACACATTCACAAGTTTTAATTACATAAATGCATGCATACCTAAGTTACATACATACCTAAATATTTTTTCAAATTATAAGCATTTCACATTTTAAAAATTAAGAATATAATTTTGTTGGTATACTGTATTTAAATGGATATACTGTATTTAAATGGATATACACATTATTATTACATATTTACAGTATATGATTACATTTTTCATGAGTTGATACATGTAAATAACACATTTTAATGCTTTTTACTTTTTGTTTCTCTGTCTTCCCTCCCATGATCTCTTGGTCTACTTCCCATTTGCAAATGATCTATATCTCTTTTTCCTATTATTGTGTCAGTACTTACTGGTATGTATGTATCAGTTTTGCTGTTAATGTTATTTTGGAAGCTTAATATACGTGTTTAAGATTCATCTCTTACTATTCCTCCATATAGACTTTATCTAAACCTCTGGTAAAATCTCTTCTTTTTTCATCTGTTGTGAATATCCGAATCTTTGAAAATGTGGCAGGAGAAACAAGATAATAGAAAAAAATGAAGCTAATATTAGAAAATAATTACCATCACAGGTATAAGTTGCGAGTTGTTATTGGCCACCTGTGGCCTTGACTAAAGTTTATAGTAGCAATATTTGTAACAATTGAATAAAAGGAGTTTTATTTATTCATTTAAAAAGTCATTTTTTGTATCAAGAAAGAGAATGTTGTTAATCCCTTAGTACTACCAAAAGGCCAGTTTCAGGGTATATATTTTGCTATCTATTGTTAATCCTCTTGCCTTTTATTCTGTGTTTTTCTAAAGCCATGGGAATAAGGAGGAGTTTTCCTGTAGAGGAATACAACTTGCTGTGGATTGGTTTCTAGATAAAGGTCATAAAGATATCACTGTATTTGTGCCTGCATGGAGAAAGGAGCAATCCCGACCTGATGCTCCAATTACAGGTACTATTTGAAATGATGTATTTTCTGTTATTTAGAGTCAAATTTAAAAAGATAGTTTTGAGAGGGTGAAGTAGTCCCAATTTAGGCAATTATTTTTCTAAGTTGTTAGGTACACTTAAAATGTCTTTTAGTGCTTGCTTTGGTAACATATATACTAAAATATAAAAATATGTTTAAGTGGATTTTCATCATTGTTTTGTGGCATGATGGTTAAACAGAGACAACCTAAATTCAGTAAAAGATAACATACAAAATTTAAAAAGAATTCTTTTGCATTTGACCATAAACCTTAGACTATAGGGAGATGAATCTAGTTATAAACTTTGACTCAGTTTTTCCAGAAGCCATTGCAGAAAGTGAGTATTATTCTGAACCAAAGAAGTGATTGTGGTGTTTTCTGTTAGGCAATGGAAAAGAAAAAGTCTAAGGACAATCCTATGCAACTGATCCTTGCAGTATAGTAGGCCCAGTGCCTAGAGAAGATGACACTTTTAGTCCCACAAAATGTTATTTTCTTTTCATATCAAAAGGAAAAATTAAAAAATACAATTCATATATAATAATTAGAATTACATTTGGCTTTATACCAATGTAATTTATAAAATGAAATTTTCAATATTCTCCTATGGAGAAAGTGTTAACGAAGGCAAAAGTGCCTAAAGTGTACAAAAATCATGATTTAATCTTCCTAATGGCAGTAAAAGTCATTATATTGACTTACAACAGTACAGGTAATACATGTTCTTTGACAGCATTTCAGAGAATATAGACCCCAATTCTCTGAGTACCTGCTCTTGCCTGATCTGCCTAATAACAAAGTCCAGTGCTTAGCTGTCTGAACTGTGAATGGATTTCTCATGTGTTGAACAGGTTCTCAAGCCTCAGTCTAAGAATAGATGCTGGCCCTCCTAAGGCCTAGCTAGCAGCAAGCTTTGTCTCCTCAAGCAATTAAGGGACCAAAAGGAAAGAGATTCAATATTCAACTGCTATCGCTTGATGTTCCACTTTAGTTTTGGCATTGCTTCAAGCAGAAGCCCAAAATATCAATCTTAAGAGTGACGCTTTATTCTTCTGACAAAAATACCAAATATGGCCATTTTCTTCCAAAGGCAAAAATATGGTGCTTGGTTTGTAGATGTAGCTCAGTGGTAGAGCACTTTCCCAAAACTGCAAAAAAGAAAGGAAGAAGGATGGAAGGAAAGTAGGAGGGAGGGAGGGAGGGAAAAAGCAAAGCAAAGCAAATGAAAGAAAAAAGAACACTTATGTTTTAACCAAAGGGCAAAACAAAGTCAAAGTACCAGGATATCAGCGGCATTTATCACTTTTCATTGTAGTTTTTAAAAATTAGACATTGCTTAATTCAACTCCATTTTATTATAAAGAAAACCAAAGTTTGAGGGACGTTACTTGCCTAATGTAACATCCAATTTGATGTCACAGTTGGGGAGTACAACCCACTTCCTCCTTAAGGACAAATAAATTTATATAGTACTAACTTTTATATTTGTAGTATGGCAATAAGGCTGTTAATTGATGACTTCTATTCTGTGCCATAATCATATTTTGACAGATCAAGATATTCTTCGTAAACTGGAGAAAGAAAAGATTCTTGTCTTCACACCATCCCGAAGGGTTCAGGGCAGAAGGGTTGTTTGCTATGATGATCGATTCATAGTCAAATTAGCATTTGATTCTGATGGCATCATTGTGTCCAATGACAACTACCGAGATCTTCAAGTTGAAAAGCCAGAATGGAAGAAGTTTATTGAAGAGCGGTTGCTGATGTATTCTTTTGTGAATGACAAGTGCGTTTCTTTCCAGTAGGCTCTGAATTGCCTAATCCAAGTTGCTAGTAGGAACAGATTTCATTTAATTTTGATAAACATTTATCGAACTCTTAGTCTGGAACATGCAATACACTGGTTGTCATGCAAATAAAAGTTGAAAAAGAAACTCAGTCTCCTTGGGCATGATGGTGCAAGCCTGCAAACCCAGCATTTCAGGAGGCTGAGGCAGGAGGATTGCCAGCTTAGGTAACATAGTGAACTCAAGGACAGCCTGAACTATATAGTGAGACCTTATTTCAAAAACAAACAAACAAACAAAAAACAGAAACTCATTTACAAGGGGCTTAAAGTGTAGTGGGAAAGAGAAAGAGACAACCACAATGTGTTGAATGAACACACAACAGTTAATATATTTCTAAATTTCTTTGTGTATGTCAAGTGTTAAGAAAAGTCCTCCTTTTCTCCATTCCATTTCCAGAATGGAAATTTCTCCATTTCCAGAAATGACATCTGGAGTGAAGTTTACAGAGTAAAAAAGCCTTCTGGGCATGACAGGTGAAAGGGACATTATAAAGAATGCTATGAAAGTATGAAAGGGAGTGGCATATTGAGGAAACTAAGCAGGAATGCCAGCATGACTGTAGCATATAATCTATAAAAGAATGATGCACTGGAGAAAATCAACCTTTCTATGTGATCAGGTAGGAACAAAAGAAAGAACTTATGGATTAACAAAAGATAGATCTGAGGCAGTAAAGACAATTAGAAGTCTGTAACAATAGTACAGACAAGAGGCAATGAAAGTCTGAACTTCTGGAAAGGTCACATATGGGAAAACATTCACCATTGCTTGCTTGCTTTCAGATTTATGCCTCCAGATGATCCTTTAGGACGTCATGGCCCAAGCCTTGAAAATTTCTTAAGAAAAAGACCCATTGTTCCCGAGCATAAGAAGCAACCATGTCCTTATGGTGAGTACCTACATGCACAACTGAGTTCTGTACTAAGGGAAATATAAGGACTCTGAATACTTTTTTAGATTTTGCTTTCAAATGGGAAATTCTAGCCTGTTCCCTTTCTCTAAGTTAAAGTTTGCACCTATGTATACCCTCAGCTAGGCATTTAAAGAAGAATCTTAGTAACTGAATGAGGAAAAGGCAACTGGATTTGAAAGGAGTTGTTACTTCCTAAAATAACACATAGTCTCTAACTGCCTAAGTTCTAAGCAGTGTTGCTTGGAATAGGGAAATACAGAAACTTGTGTCAACTATGGAAACAGAAAGGGAATGACATACTGGGTTTGGCTCCAAGAAAAGCAAGTCTGTCAGGCAAGTAACTATTCCCTTAATCAACTAGTAATACTTTTCTTTTCATCTGTACTTTCCAGTTGCCTCTAAGTTTCATTTTCATTTTTTAAAATATAGTTTTCTATATGGAATTTGTGCTCTTACTCAAGTGCCAAGTTTGTGGGACTAACAGGGAAATATGGGATGTTTAGTTTGAGACCATTATGGATAATTGTATGTGGTTTTATCTGGGGATGGGTCATTTTGGTTTTTGTCTTTTATTAATGTTTAAATTGCAGAGTACTTTCATGTTTGTTACTTCATCTTTAAAGTGACCATAAAATATACACATGATCACAAAGCTTTTTTATAGAAGTGAAAATGAAGCTCAGAAAATGAGTCACATACTAAGGTCACATGGCCAGTAAAGGATACAGCTAGAATTGAAATTCAGGTCTCACTGGTCTCTAAGCCTGTGCTATTTGCACTGCACCATGCTGCCATCTGTTACTCTAGGTTGCCTCAGTTATTCTATGCTGAAGTATGTGCATTACGAAAAAAAGTAGGGCTGTTCAATTGCTCAGTTCTTAGCGCTTACGCTGCAATTTCCTCCCCAGCTTTCTGCTTTCTTCCTCTCCTCACATTGTGTGATGCCTCCTTGGTGTTGTCTGTCTCTCATCCTTGTGGACAGTTAATTTTCTATCTCAGTGTCAAACAGTAAAACTTTAACTTCTGTGAGCAGATTGTTACAACAGTTTCTGGCACAGAGCCTTGTATCACTATGAGAGAGAGTCTTACCGCAAGGCATTATTTTTCAGGCAAAAAATGCACCTACGGCCACAAGTGCAAATACTACCATCCGGAGCGGGCCAACCAACCCCAGCGTTCGGTGGCTGATGAGCTCCGCATCAGTGCCAAACTGTCCACAGTGAAAACCATGAGCGAAGGCCCCATGGCCAAGTGTGGGACAGGGATGTCTAGTGTCAAAGGTGAGATAACCTCAGAGGTAAAACGTGTGGCACCCAAGCGTCAGTCAGATCCCAGCATCCGGTCTGTGGCTGTAGAGCCTGAGGAATGGCGGTCCATTGCCCGTAAGCCTGAGGCCAGCTCTGTCCCATCACTTGTGACTGCCCTAAGTGTCCCCACAATCCCGGCCCCCAAAAGCCATGCAGTGGGTGCACTAAACACCCGTTCGGCCAGCAGTCCAGTACCAGGATCCTCCCATTTCCCCCATCAGAAGGCCTCATTGGAGCACATGGCCAGCATGCAGTACCCCCCTATACTAATTACCAACAGCCATGGGACTCCAATTAACTATACTGAGCAATACCCAAAGTTTGAGTCTATGGGGGACCACAGCTACTATTCGGTGTTAGGCGACTTCTCCAAGCTGAATGTCAACAGCATGCATAATAGAGAATACTACATGGCTGAAGCAGATCAGGGCATGTATAGTCGGAATCCCAACTTCTGTCCTGACAGTCTTATGAGCCATACCAGGAACGACAACTATTCCTCTTACAACAATCTGTACTTGGCTGTAACGGATGCCCATCCTGAAGGCAGTTTGAAGCTGCACCGCTCAGCATCTCAGAACCGTCTTCAGCCTTTTTCTCATGGTTACCATGAAGCCTTAACTAGAGTGCAGAGTTATGGCCCAGAAGATTCCAAGCAAGTCCCCCACAAGCAGTCAGTTCCCCACTTAGCTTTGCATGTCCAGCACTCGGCAACTGGAGCATGCTCTAGCTGCCCTGGAGACTACACCATGCCTCCCAATATTCATCCTGGGGCAACATCCCAGCCAAGCCGTGCACTAGTAATGACTCGGATGGACAGCATTTCTGATTCCCGACTCTATGAGAGCAACCCCTTAAGGCAAAGACGACCTCCTCTGTGCCGGGAACAGCATGCCAGTTGGGACCCACTGCCCAGTACAACCGACTCCTATGGCTATCATTCCTGTCCCTTAAGTAACAGCCTCATGCAGCCATGTTATGAGCCAGTCATGGTACGGAGCATGCCTGAAAAGATGGAGCAACTGTGGAGGAATCCTTGGGTTGGAATGTGCAATGATTCCAGGGAGAATACGATTCCAGAACACCAATATCAGACCTACAAGAACCTTTGCAATATTTTCCCTTCTAACATTGTTCTTGCAGTGATGGAGAAGAATCCTCACACATCAGATGCCCAGCAACTGGCAGCTTTGATTGTTGCAAAGCTTAGAGCTGCACGTTGACATGACACAGGATTTAGTCCTTTATACACATATAAATATTAATACACTAGTACTATGATTACAGTAACTAATGATTTACATTGTGCTTTAAAAGTTACCAACTGTTTACATCATGTAAGTTCACAACAACCCCACAAAATAAGTCTTAACATCCTATTTCATAGAGAAGGAAGCTGACACTAATGTAAGTGACTCGCCATGTTTATGCTGCTAGAAAATGACCAAGTCAAGATGCATACCCAAATCCTCTGACTCCAAGTCTCTTGTCCTTTTGCACTGCACCATTGCAGGTAATGGAAGATGAAACCCAGGGAAAGAAGCCTAAATGCAACAAATCCCAAGAGATTCCATTATCAGTGCTTTCTTAATCACATGTTCTATGTTACAAAGTATGGATGATATAGTCAGTTTAAAGAGCAAAAGCAACAGGATCAGATAGTGTGCTGAATTAACCTTTTAGAGTTTTAATAAAAACATTTAAAGCTATTGAAAAGTAAATACATACTTTATTGCATGGGTATCTGATCATTCAGTATCTTTCTTAAGCAAGTCATAGGGTCACATTGAAGCTTTTAGAGCTGTATTTAAACCCTACCATCAACAATTATATTGCATGTATGAGTAGTATATATTTGGTTTAATGTGTGTATATCTGATACAACTTTTATATAGTGATTTTGAGAAGGTTGGCTCTACAGTCCTACTCTACAGGTGTATAGATCATGAATCTTATTGATTTTGTCATATTTCATAGTTCCAACTCAATTTGAAAGTGAAATTATGTGCTAATATATAAGCATTGTTTTCTTAGGCACCAGAGCAAACCAACTTTATTTCATTTTCTTCCTTTTTACTTGCCAGCATTTATTAACAGTTCTTAGTTTCTAAGTTTCTTCACTTCAGCACATTAGGGGTGAGGTTGAAGCCTTCTGCAGAGGAATTGTTGAGTAAGTTCAAATTCCACACATAGTTTGTGCTACAGAAGTGCAGAAGAGTCTGACCAGAAACAAAGGACTACCAAAGTCCACCCCCCTTTTCCCAGGAAAGATGGCCAAACCTACATGAAAGTAAATGAAAACACAAAAGCTTCATGCGAGGGGCTAATGGATGCTTTTTGGACTTTTGATCTATGCAGTCTTAAAACATCACAAAATAAAATATAATGGAGGACAGTGTACAGCCATGTGCTTTCTCTTGCTGCCCACCCTTTGGGCAATAAGGTCAATAACTGCTGAAGCAGAATTTCTTAGGAAACAAAACCAGGGGATTTTTTAGATGGAAGAAAGGCAGATTCCAAAAGAGAATGCTGCATCTTTGCTAATAACTGGCTCAGTTACACACTTTAAATCTATTCACATAGAGTGCACTTGCTGTTAGATAATTCGTAAGATGCATTACTCAAGAAGGCATGATTTTGGGTGACATAATTTGCGCAATTTGTATCTTGCTCAGGGTGGAAACGTTTGTAGCTAAATACCTCTAGAAGAGGTGTTTATTGATTTGTTAAACTGCACTGAATGAACCCCTTTTTTAATCCACTGTATATTTCGACATTTTGAGCCATGCCTAGCTTACTATTTCTTGAGCTGGCACTTGGTAATTTCATGGTTGTTTTTTTCATGAAAGTTGAGAAGGCCTGGCCTTGGCCTTTTGTTTCTTCATGAGAAGGTGTGACACTGCCTATAGATGTTTCTTACTGTGAAACACTCTGAATGTGAGGCTGCAGTCAAGGTTATTTCTGGGGTTTGATAATGGCTTACATGCTGCTTTCTGGCTTTGTCTCTGTCCAAGTTGATCAATACTGTATCTTAACTAGTGCTTCTCTTCACTTAACCACAGCTTCCTATTCATCTCCTAACCTCTAATCATTCCATTCCCCAGCATATTGGTAACATGTAAACATATTTTCTTATCAGGTAGGTCAACAGAGAGTGATAACTGCCACTGCAGTTCTTGCTATTTCACATAAACACCGCTTCATACCTTCAGTGTCATGGAGTTTCTAAATTGTCTCATATCTAGATCATGGTATTTGACCACCTTAGATTACTCCAATGCCTTTGTGCCAGTTAATCTTCCTACCAAAATCATCAATGAGTGACACTGTAGTATCTACTCATTGCACAACTTATAGGAAAGCACAAGATTAATCTTGTCTGCTATTCATCTTGAATATAATCATACTTAGTACTGAAAATAACTGTGAGATCTTTCCCATGCAGGAGATATTCTTAGTGCACTATATGTATATTTTATTTTCTAAAACAAAATATATTTTTTCCTCATAAAATTGTGTACAAACCAAAGTAGCTAGAAGCAATGCCTCAAATAACCAGAAATGACCTTTTGTTGATACAAATTGTATCTTTTTCCTGATTGTATAGAAATAAATGTACAAAACTCACCTAAAACTAGGTTTGGTACTGAATTTTCTCCATGATGTTTGTGGCACTGTGTGTCACAAGGTTACACGGAAGTAGTCCAGGGGTTTATAAGGGAGCTTTTATTTCCAAAGGGCAGTGGTGGTTTATATTCCAAGATAATTTTTCAAGGCCTCTTTATTATTAGGCATAAAGGTATTGTATGTACAGTTTTAAGCATTATGTATGTTCTTGTTAGCCTGATTTAATACGTCCTTATAATAGGGGTTTTCTTTAAAAATGTCAGTTTAAATGAATCATCTGTAAGAATCTATAATGCAGCTATACAACTATGAATGCATAAGTCCAGCTTGTTTTTTAGCTATTAGAGCAACATATTCTTTATATTGAGGTCTGCATACTTGTTTTCCATTTTGTATGTAATTATAAAATAGCAAATAACAAAGAGCATTAGGATTTCCTTGGCTCCTTGGTAATGAAATCAAGCTTCTTTCATGAAGCTTAGCATGTGTCCTTCAGGATATTTTCCTCTAAGCACTCAGCATGGTTACTGCACAGAGTTTTGTGTGGTTTTAAGAAGCAGTACATTTTGCAAGAGGTGCTTTGTAATTTTAATTCTTCCACTGGTGTTCTGACCTCATAGTAAGTCCTTGCCTACTAAGGCCTTCGATTTTATAGTTTTGTGATTTTTGTGTATGTGACTTTGTTCTTGTTTTTATTTTGACATAAAGGAGAAATGGGACCCTTGTGTGGCATAGTCAATCCAGGGAACCCTTTCTATAAAACAGCTCACACGAAAAGGAGGCTTTTTCAAAGGTAATATTGAACCACTGCACTCTCTTTACAGTGCCAGGTATAGACCAGAGAATGGCAGATACAACAGATGCCTTACAGAAACGATCTATGAATCTTTTAAATAAGGAAACACATAGCATGATTTTCTCCTTTTTGTTTTTCCCTTCTCCCTGCCCCTTGCCAGTATCTAGAACATTTCTCTTTAATTAATTTTTTTCTATTTTGGAGTAAATTATCTTTATACAGTAATTTAATCTTGGTATCCATAAACCGTTGTCACTGAGTTTTCTTCTAACATGGAAGAGTTCATTTTGAGAGGCACTGCTATCATTCTATCTATGCTGTAAGTAAGGGACTTTGTACAAATGCCCTTTTTGAGGGCCTATAATTTCAATACATTTTGTTTTACTCTGTGAACCAGATTTGGATTTGCACAGGGGAAAGTAATGCTGAACTGTCCAAAGAGCTCTGCTCAGGTCTCCTAACCTTTCTCTGCCCTCCCCTACTTTTCTTCTCCTCAGGTCTCGTACTGGGGAGAACGGTCTTCAATTGAAATAGTACTACAGTTTGCTTTTACTGGAAACCAAACCAGTATATTTCTGGTATCTGCTTGTCTAAAGTAGTCAGTGTCTTTGCAAATATTTAACATATTCAGTATCTACTGTATTATAGCTATTTACACACGCAGATTGACTATTTTTAGTCCTGGTTTGTGTATCATTGAGCTATAGTAGTTTGCTTTATCCATTTGTGGGATTAAACAATACCGTTTAATGGTTGTAAACTTTTACAAAACCTCTTTGGGTTTCTTGTTTGACCCAAACATAATGTAAGTCTCAATGACAAAATACACAAAGTCAACCAGAGGTGAGTGAAAAATATATCTTTTTCCTAGCTTCATCAGTCCCAAAATGCATGTGCAATGCTTTGTAATATGTTCTCACAAGCATGAATGTGCTATGACTACTTAACAAAGTTTTGTTTCACCTATAATCATAATGGAAAATGCTGTATCATTGACAACAATGAACTGTAACCAAACTTATTGCATAAACTATGTTTTTACTAACTACTGATGACTCTTTCTTTAAGAATATTAACAACACAAACCATACCACATATAAAGAAATACACATATCTATTTCACTTTGTTCTTAAAATATTAAATTTCTATGCTAGCAACTTGCATCTTGAAACAAACTGTAAAGACAGAGATCCTCATCCCAAGTGAGTTCATTTTAATTTTACCACAATGTCTATGCCCTCTAAGTTTTAAACACTAAAACAACTCCTAGACAAATAGTATACTAAGTAGACCTAACTAGTTTTTTCTACAAAGCAGGGCTGGCTTCCATTGGTGGGTCAAAATGAAGTGGCAGATTCAGAACAGACTCATTTGTGTGGCAGGTTCAGCCCATAGCCTCAAGGCCACAAAGATATCATCTGTGGAATCTTAAACAGACTATCAGAGCCAGAAGTAGCTCAACACCCTACTCTGCATACCAGCTTTTCAGGTTATTTTGCAAGAAACGAGGCCCCAGTGGAAGTGCTGAAGGCATCTGACCAAGGCCTAGTAGAATTAGATAGTAGCAGCAGCAATACTGGAAGGCCAGGCCTTGCAACTCCCAAATTGATACACCCCTTCCTTTATTTACCATCTGTTGTCTACTCTTCTCAGCCTTCTCTGGAGCCTCCTACTCACTCCTTATTGCATTCCAAGCCAGTCTCATTCTAAAGACAGAGGTAGCCACAGTGGCTGCAGTGGAGTCCAACCCTACGAGCCTTTGGAAGGGGCTATTTGTGAACTTGAGTTATTTAAGTCATCCTTCATAGGACTAACAGTAATCATTTTTTCTCACCCTTTTCCTGTTCTCTTTTCTCTTGCTCCCTCCTCTCACATTCCTCGAGCATACCTCTATCAAGTTCTGAATGCCAAATCAGTGCATGGCCTATACTGCTCTAAACAGATCCTGTTGGGGGAGGGGTGGACCTTGCCCTCTAGTGGCGGAATGAAGCACATAGAATAAAAACATTAAGACTTCTTGGAAGACAGTGTCAGCATGGGCACAGGGATATTGGTGAAAATAATTAGAATTCTACTAAGAGGGAACAACTGAATGTTCAGTGCTTCTTCCCTAATAATAGATGAAAATTCAGCACTGCTCCAGCTCATTCCTCTGGCTTCATGACTTACCCAGTAGTGTCACCAAATTCCAGATACCCTGGAAATTATGCTGGTGCCCCAACCATGTTCTTCAGACTTGAAGAACAGGGTGAGGGGAGGTGGTCTCAATTATAATCCTCAATAATTTATGTTCTCTTCCTTTGACTTCTCTTCACTGCTTCCCATTTAAATGGATGCAGTTTAAAGACTCTTCTAATCAGTTCCTGATCAACAGCATTAAAGTTACTGCATAGTCACCTCTGCTCCTACCATCTGAAACCTTTGGACTTGGTCTCACAATTCCTAGGTTTCAGAAATCCAGCCAGTATTGACCACTGGCTCTTACGTTCTCCAGTCGCATACTAGAAATGGGCTCAAGTAGTCCACTTCTCTGTAGGTTAGCCTTTGAGGTCCAGGAAAAAGCAACATCCTGGGTTATATAGGGACCTTAGTCTTGAGTTCGAAACTCACCAATAATGGAAGGAATCCTTACTATTCACAAATATAAAAATATGCTATCCCTTATGCAGCACTTTAAAATCTATTATGTTTTGATCCTTATAACAAGTCTATAGGACAAACATTATCCTTCTACAGATGAAAAAACATGGTACAGTTTGCTCAAGCTGGTTCCCACTATGAGGTGGAACTTAGCTTGGAACCCAGGTCTTTGGGCAACTTCTACCAATGCATTTGGAACTCTGGTATGCATCAAAATCAACAAGGGTTTATTAACCAGATTGTTGCCTATTCTCACCCTTTCTGATTCAGAAAGTCTGACAGGGTTCAAAAAATCTGCATTCCTAACAAGAACTCAAATGCTGCTGACGTTGCAAGAAAACAGATTTATCCAACCTAATTATTGCTGTGGCTATGGGCAAATTCCTTTCCTTTTTGTCTGCTTCAGAATCTTAATGCATTTCAAACAAGAGGGAAAGTCAAAAACTGATTTTCTAAACCTTATTTTAACAGCAAACTCCATCTTTCAAAAGAAGTCATATATAGGATTCCAATACAAACACAACAAAGTCAGGGCTTCTCCAGTGAAGTGTTGGAGAGATTCTAGAATACTTAACCAAAGAGGGTCTAGATCCCTTAAGGCCTCTTCTAGCTAACATTCCAGTATGCTAGGAAATTTTTAGCCTTTGAAGGGAGAGGGAAGAATTAGAGAGAAACTTACTCTGTACTAACCAGTACATAAAACTGCTTTGCCTGTGCCTAACGTTTGGGTGCACATGAGAAATCTTAACCCCTTTGAGCTGGTGAGTTCATGGAACTCTTTGGCAATAATAATAAAAGCTATGGACCAGCTCCCTAGAAAAAATGAAAATGTACATACAACTGCCAAGGTATTCAATGTATCCTTTCAGGCCTTATGGACTCCCTACGGCCCTTACTCAAGATAAAATCCTTGATTAGAGGATCTGGGAAGGAATAATAGTGCACTTCTCTAGTTCACACAAGGATTTGTGTTTAATCCCCAGCACCCCAAAACAAACAAAAAAAAACCTTGATGGGGCTGTGGCACAGCACTGCCACCAAATTCTTCCTTAGTGTTTTTGTAACAAGTCCTCTCCATGATTTCTTGGCACAACCATCTAGAGAAATTTTGTCAGGCACTTAGCAGAGGTAACAGGTTATTACTTAGTAAATTTGTCCTTCCTTACCAGGTTGATAGAACTGAGAGTGAAAACATGGCTGATTTATCCCTCATCTCCTGGTAGCTAAGGGATGACATAGGATAGGCACTGTAAGGTTAAGAGAGAATGTCTGAACAATAAAGAAGTGGCTCTGTGTCAGTCCCTAGGACAGTTTTCTGGCTCTAATGTCTGCTGCCCGGAAAGTCCACTCTTCTTCTTCTAGGACAAAAGTGGCAAAGAAAGGCGTATCTCTGGCTTTCAATTACTGTTTGGTAGCCACTGAGAGGAGGTGAGGAGATAAACAGGAAAACATGAGTCTTCTTCCCTCTGTCAGGAAGGCTTTGAGCAACCCACCCCCAAGAAACACACTGCAGTTGCCAGTTAAGAGTATGATAACCTCTCTCTTCTGGGGCCTCATGCTTCCAAACGAACTGGCTCCAAACTACAGATGAAGGGTACAGAAATGGTTTGAGGAACCAGGTAACAGATACGGGTAGAATCTGGCTATGGCAGCAATCAGAGCCAGTGGGCCCAAGGGGCCTCAGTATTCTACTCCTGCTCAAAGCCTTGTTATCATCCAAACTTCTCTGGAGCCCATAAGAAAGCACTACACTAGTCTTTCCTGCCATACATATCCTCATCTCACAAATATCAAAACTGTAGTTGCCTGTTTATTGTTCTTCAAAACAAAACAAAAGGAAAAATTCATTCCACACTCTATTGGTGGAAAGCTGAGTTGATGTGGCTGATCTGGGCTGTCTCCTAGATTGTATCATGGAAGATTAGGTGCACTGGGGGTGGGCTGTTGCTCTGGCAGGGATGGATGAACACTTCCATTAAGGCAGGCATCAGAATAGCTGCAGGCCAGTTTTGAGCCCGTGCAGCTGTCCCTGGCTCCAGAGAAGGCCCTCCAAGTTGCTGCTGCTGTTGCTGAAATTGCCACTGCCGACACCACAATTTAGGCCCAGGGTGCTGTGGAGAGATTGGGAGGTCAGTCAGGGAAGGACGCAGCTTTAGGCTCTGAAACAGCTAAAAGTGCTTGAGATGAGTGTGTCTGTCGGAAGGGCTTAACCTCTCCTGCCTAGTTTTATAAAGAGGAGACTGCAACAAATCTGAGAAGCAATTTCAGGTAGGTGCTAGGTGATTAAGGAAATATGGAACTGTTCAAATGAAGCATTATAAAGAGCTCCAGTACATAAAAGTCCATGTAAAACTGTTTGGGTTGAAGTAAAAGAGGGGTCTTACCCACAGGAAGACACTGAAAATGACTGCTTTAGCAGGGCTTTTTCCCAAGACCTTAGTGCTTACAGGCCCACAAGACTCTGGACTGGATCCCTCCCACATCTAATACATAGTTAAGGGGTCCAAAGTCAGACTTGCTCTGTAGGTATAGGCACAACTCCCATTCCACAATTTTTAAAACTGCTTTAAGGGAGAAATCTGCCCTCTTTTTCTCTCTGGCCCAGACTAGAATATTCTTGCTTCCTGCAGATCAAAGGTTCTTCCAACTGGATAAGGTAACAGCTGAGTGCAAAGCTATCATTACTCCCCTCTGGCAGGTTCCATGGTTATACTCCTGCAGCTGAAAAAACTCCTTGAGATAATCTAATTGCATCCCCTCCCACCACCCACAATTTTACAAATGAAGAAATTGAGGATGAGATATGAGAAATGACTTTCCCAATGCTACATGGCTAAGTTAAAGGTGGAGCTGAGACAAGAAGTGACATCCTCTGCTCCAACAGAAGAAGCCTCCCTACAACAGGTGGTCAAGGGCCTGAGTCAAATGAGCTTCCTTCTTGATTTAACAGCTCTACCAGCCCACACTTTTTACCCTTAAGAAACTGGAACTCATCAACCCAACCTTATACAAGGCCTGGCTAATTGAGGGTAGAAGGAGGAATTTTTTAAGACATGTGAATCTCACTGCCAGCTGGCTACTTCCTAAGAGGCCTGATGCTCCCTGACCTCAGAGTTCACAGCATTGCCTTAGGCCTGGTCTGCTTATAGGGCCCTTGTATTCTATATCTCTCTCTCCCAGAATGCTCAGATAAAAAGAGGCTTGTCTCCTAGGGAACAGGCAAACAGAACAGAGATGGATTCTCAATTTCAGGGGCCTAGAGGAGTCTGTCTGATACTCATCAGTTTCTCCTATTCACAATAGCCCGGTATTTTGGAATATTCAGGCCTCTGACTGAACTCCTTTCAGTTACTAGCATAACCTCTCATCAATAACTGCTTGGTTCCTGCCTCCCTGATGACCCAATGGCTTGTACGCTTGAGATCCAAAAATAAGTTTTGAGGGAAACCATACAGCCATGAACAGGCAGGCCTTGCTGCTAAGATTCCAGGACAGTACAGGAGGTCTACCGATTATTCTGTGTACCTTTGGACAAAGTTCTTTCCCTTTCTGGGCTGCAGTTTTCTTATCAGGAATATAAAGAAGCTTGGTTAGAGCATCTGTTCTTGACTTTTTAGCAATGGTGGACAATTTAGAGAATTCACTGAAAGCTATGTATCCCTCTCTTCTCAAAATGCAAATGCATGTGCACACACGCACACACCCAATGGCACACACACAAACAGAATTCAAACTGCAAGGGGTTCCAAGGTAGCTCTATGTAGCTATTTTACTGGTTCCCACTAAGGGCAAGCCATCATATAAAGACCCACCCAGCTATTTACCTCTCCAGTCATTTACCTACCTACTCCATTTTGTCTCCTTCCCTTCCTCCCACAAGTGGTAGAGGAGGCAGTGAGAAATCCTGTTGCCATGGGCACTCACCCAGTCTTGCACAATGAGGGTTCCAGCCGCTGCTCTAGCACAGGCTGATCCAAAAGATACATGGTATCATAATTCTCCAGCATAAGCTCTGCTGGATCCTCTGTTTGACCTGGCATGCGGCCTAAGGGGAATGTGTCCCACTGCACATCTTCTGTAGAGCAAAGAAAGGTAGAAATAGTAGGTTGATGAGCTGGTTCTCCAGAGGCCCACTAACACTGTCCTTCCACCCAACCTATTAGCCCATTCAATTCAGTCTCTGTGTACCCTCAGCTTCACTCTACTCACTTCTCATGAGCATCTCTCCATCATAGCATTTTACTATATATTTTTATGGCCCTTTTTCCTGTGTTTACACACATATACAAAAGCACACAACTACAAATATTTTTGTTCCTCCCTGACCCTTCTTCCCCTATTTCCCCAGGCATGCCTCCACTGACATTTTCAGATCTGAGTATATCTCTGCCTGAATCTGAATCCTCTATTCTCTCCTGGAAATCTCAGAATTCCTACAGAATCCCCCTTTCAAACCCACTGAAACCTTAGAAAATACGAATGACTTAGATTTCCTATACATTTATATGTACAACTCTGTAATGCATTTGAATGCATCAATGTACTTGAATGCTCTTGCCTGAAGAGATGCATACCCCCATCTCAGTATGGGCACTATCACAGAAGTAACCTGTGCTCCTTTCACTGCAAAGTCTTCATGACCTCAGATGCACACAAAAAGAACATCCTTTCTTTAAGGAAGGGAATATTAACATATCTCACTCTCTACTTCCTCCCAGGATATACTTGGAAATATACCAATCCCTCTATTAAGTGAATGTTCTCTGTTTCACTTCCTGATTCCCACATCTCTCATTCACAGGGACACAAAGAAATCTTCTTTTCCCTATCTCCCCACATATGTGCAAGCACGCACACAAACACACAGAAGAAACAATGGCAAAGAGAGGGAAAAAGTTAAAACCCTAACCTCCCATCACCTTCCCTCAACACACACACAAACACACACTCTGCCTTAGGGTTGACAGGCATTCCCTATCTCGGTCTTACCACTTTAAAACTCCCCACATAGTATTATTGTCTATCCCTTCTTCCCACGCTTGTACACATGCCTCTATGGTTTTTAAGAGCAACCTTTACTACCAAGTTCCTTAGCTTTTGTCTCTGGTTTCCTGCATTCTCCTGGTACTCAATAACCCTGTCATGATGCCCCTGGCATTATGTGAAGTACTTTACTGCAGACCAGTTTTTTGCACAACCCATACAGAAGCTCCTCAAGAGGGTCAGTTCCAAGATTGTGTACATGTTTCAAAGGATTACAATGTACTCCATAAATACAACTATGTATCAAGAAGATGGGCTAGAGGTGTAACTCAGCTGTAGAGCAATTGTCTAGCATGCTAATGCCCTGGGTTTCATCCCAGGAACAGGGAAAAATAAAAGGAAAGGCTATTCCCCTGCTTGTTCATCTCTCCTCCCCTGGTTTTCTTACATGGTCTATGCAATACTTTCCATTTCCTTTATGATACAGAGATACCATAGGGGCCAACCCACTCATTGGCTCTGACAGTAATTTAACCATCCTCCACATCACTAACATTTCCAACCCTGTGTATTTCACTGTCCCTGCTTCCTTAGCCTGAAACCCTTGTACATGTCCCTTTAGAGACAGCAGGTACACAAAGACTTTCATGGGTCTTAGTGACCCTGCTTACTCTTTAAAAAACATATGTACCCACAAGTATGCATACTCCCATGTATGCACAGTTATACTATAAGCTGCTTCACAGTGACTTCTTTCATTGCCTGCATTTTTCTTTCTTTCCCACAATTCTGCCTGTGCCAATGTCCCTTACTTTCAGTATTTACAAAGATCCCCCAAATACAGCCTTCCTTCCTATCTTGTCTAAAGACATTTCTATTGTCACTGTGACATAATTTATCTAGCAAACATAAATATATGCTCATACACACACATGCACAGACATAAATGTGCTAATCCACTTCTAACCTCCTACTTGGGGTATTTATGCCTTGTAGTCCTCCCACACCTGTTTATGCAACAGCAAAATACCTCTCCCCATAAGCTCATTTACTATCTCCTCTCTGGTTCCATCCTATTCCCTACCATATTTACATGAGACTATCCTATCTTTATCAGTCTACCTCCCTTGAGGTTCCTACTCCCCAAACTAAATGAGGGTACGATACTATCAACATTCCTTGCCCCCTCTTGGCTTTGATCTTCTAAACTTGGGTGAATACATAAAATCCATACTACTCTGTATTGTCTCTTCTGATCTCACTTCCAAGTTCTTCTGACTCAGTGCCTTGGGTTCCTTCTAATATATGCAGCAAAATCCTCTCCCATTACCAGCCAGCCTCTACATGTACCTACATGTACCCTCTACATGAATCATATATGTATACTCCACATCTCACTTTTTCCTTTCTTTATAAAACATAATTCATTGAAAAAAAGTTATGTGCTAGTATCTTCTTTGTAAGAATCTATTTTTGTCTATGTCTTGCACTCTGATTAACTATTGTGAATGTGCTCTCTGTATGTAGCAGCCTGACAATGGTTTTCTACACTTACATGCTCTATACAAAGGGTAAGGAGAGTGGTTTTTTATACATATAATTGGCTGCTTCCCAGCCTTGCCTCAATACTGGCTACTTCCTTCCACTTTCCATTTCTTTCCTAGAGTAAAGGGAAGCCTCAGCAGCCAGCCAGACAGAGCAGAAATTGGTGAAGTGAAAAAGTGAGTATCAAGAGTACTTACCTGAGCTAACTTGCCATGCAGAGCCCTCCAAAGCTCCTGTTTTCTGGGCCAGGAGCCTGGCATTCACAATGGTAGGGGACTCATGTGCAGCAGAGAAAGATCCTACTTCCATGCTGCCTTCCTCTTCCTCCTCCTCTTCATCATCATCTTCTTCTTCCAAGTCATCATCTTCCTCTTTCTCCTCTCTCTCCATCTGGTCATTCAGGGCCTTTTTCTCCTCCTCTTCATTATCACCATTAGGAGTGCCCTGCTCCCCCTCTTGCTGGCCCTTTCCATCAGACCCATAGCTGGAACTAGCTGGTTTGAGGCCCCAGTATAGGCTGTCCAATGTGTATGGAGATTTCTCAATATGGGAGGTCGCAGAGCCCTCCTTCTGCAAGTTGTTTTCTCCATTCTGAGTATAAATGGAACAGATGCGCAGCAGCTTCTCCTGTTCCCCATCTGGCAGGACCTGTCCCATGGCTTTGAAGACACTGAGCAAACGGAGGGATGGGGTAGGAAAAATTCAAAATTTCAAATCATTTCATACCCCAAACACAATATCCCCAGGATATTGAACTTGAGCTTTTACAACTGCCTCTGAAAGGCAGTACAACAGAGCAGACAAAACATAGAAACAAAATGACCATGGACTCTAAACAATCTCAATAGTTCATTTCTGTTCCTCACTTCTATTGCCAGTAAAATGAGAATACTAGTATCTAATTTCTACAGTTCTTGGGATAAATGAGAACACTTATAGAATGCCTGCCACAGTGTCAGGCACATAGTGGGCATGCAATAAATGATAACAATTAGTCTGCACTGAAATGCTACATTAACACAGCAACTATCCAATAGGTCTGTAGTCTGGAAATGAGAATGGCAGATTCCTCCCTTTTCTAGCCTAAAATTTGCAATCTGACTTGATCTCCAACGATGTGCCTAGAAGCGTGGTGGGGTCCTCAGGCATGAAACACAGTGTGATCCTTTTACAGGAGCAGCTACAGACCAGTTTAGAATGGGAAGGGCTGTGCAGCAGTTGACAAGACAAAGCAGAATGCAGAAGGGAGGCCCAATAGGTACTGTGGACCCACTGCAGGAACTAAGGCAGCTGGGGAAAGGGAGAGAGCACAAGGAAGGAGAAGAAACCAAGGGAGGGCTTTGAGTTGGAGGTGAGGCCCAGGAGGATCAGAGACAAGAGCAAGCACACCATGCATATGTTGACAGTAGCATGGCTAGAGGACAAGGCCTATGCTGAAGAGCCATGGGAGGAGATGATGGCTGGAAGTATGGGTGTGTGTTGGGAGTTAGGTCACCTGGCAACTCTAAGCACAAGTGAAGGGCATTTCTGAAGATCACCGCAGTGACCACGTGGAGGATGCCCATGTGGAAGATGGCTTGGGCAGGGCAGCCTGGAGGCAGGGAGACCAGGAATGAACCCATTCAGACATTTCAGGCCAGAGTCCAGAGTCGGTGAGGGCTGACCTAGGGCACTGGCAGTAGATCTGGGAGGGAAAAGCTGTGAAGGACAAACAGACAGGGAACCAGGCTTAGTGACTGATGACAAGGGTTGAGTAGAGAGTTAAAGATAATGACAGGTATACAACAGACAATGCTAACAGTAAAATCACCAACAGCAACAACTAAGAGTGGCTGGGGAGGAAGAGGGCAAGCATGCTGCAGAGAACCTCATGTTAGCACCTGACACCCAACAAACCCAGGCATTGCTGGATGTGTGGTCGGGAGAGAGGGATGGCAAGTGCCCTTCTAGTTGTATATACTCAATGGCCTGTTTTCTTTTATTCTCTCAATGCATAACCACACATTATGGAGCAGGGCAGGGTGACAGTGACTCAAAATGGAGATGAGGAGACCCTCTCTGTGGGCTGCCTTCATTTTCCAAGAGGACACAGGCGCAAATTAAATTGCTATTGGCTGGATGGGGGAAGCACCTGAAAGTATCCAACTTTATTAAAGGAAAAGCTAGAAATTCTCCGCCCTCTTACTGTGATCCATTAGTGTGATTAATAAGAAATATCCCCAGGCACCTGGTAGTAGAAGATGTCTTATCACCACTGTTTATTATTGTGCAACCACTATCTCTGGTTGTCTAGTCTGGACACATTGCAGAGGTGACAATGAATCCTAAAATGTATCTTCTTCCTTGGGTATGCCTGGTCACAGCTCAGGACTAAGAAGGTCAAATGTTCAGGCTGGTGAAAAGAAGGCAGACAGTGCACTCACAGGACCTGAGTTGATCCCTATCTTGCTGTTAACAAGCCAGGTGATTTTTGCATTAAGTCACTTCATTCCTCAGAACCATAACGTCTTGTCTGCCAGAGGATATCATACCTTCACTTCCCAAGATTGCTATGTAAAATAACTTACACCCCCAAAAAACCATAGCACCATGCCTGACACTTAATTGCCAGTGGTATCCTTTATTTTTTTCTGAGGAAAACAAAAACCAGATTCTGCATTCATCTAATAACAAATGCTTTTTGAAATAGTATACTCTAGTGGACCATTGTGAAAAAACAGAAGACTAAGGGCAAGCTGTATGGATTCTGGCCTCAACTCTAACTTGCAGTATACCTGGGCACCTCCTCTGTTTCCCTCTCTCTGTAATGAGATGATTAGGACTATGTGCACTAACCATCTGGGAAATGTGGGATTTGTGCACAAGGATTCATACCCAAGTGAGCCGCTGTTACTGCTGGCATGTGTCGCATCCCTCTGGTATGCTTGGGTTGGAGAAGATCTCTGTGGTCCAGACTTCTCCAATACCAGCAGCTTCCATTCTGTAAGCACTTAGGGTTGGAAAGTACCTTGAAAGCCACCTATCCAAACCTTTCCATGCTGCTCTGTTTACTCCTCCATCCTAGTGCATGCATATGTCACATTCCTTCTGAACTTTGAAAATTTATTATTTTTCCTGCATGAACTATTCAGATGACTCATCTGTAATTTTCTGCCTAACTCTTCCAGGCCCTTTTGGTTCTCCTCTCAGTTGCTCACCCCAATCCATGTTACTTCTAAAGTATACATATCTAATAGTGTGAATGGTTAGCTCAGATCCTTCTTCTGGAGGTCTTGGTTTGTCTGATTTTGTCTATAAGGCCACATTTTTGATCTTATAAACACTACTGTGCCTCAAATGAAATAAGGACTCAAGAAAGACTTTTGGATTTAATAGGTAGTTAGAACTAAGACAGTCTTGGAATCCTATTTCCACAATTCATTCATTCATCAAGTACTGAGTCAGTGCTTGCCAAGGACAGTACTGTTGGCAATGAGCAGCAGAGCACAGTTTAAATCACTGATGTTTACTGAGGCTGTTTGGATTTGTGTGGCATGCTAGGCACAGAGAGCTAATGCACAGCCATTGCCCTTGAAAAAGCTTAGTCTTGTAGAGTGAAAGAAAACACTGGGGGAAGTAGAATGGAAACACAAAACCTTAGATTTGGGAAGTACTCTGGAGTCAACAGGAAGGGTAGATGGTGCTGTTACCAAGTGAGATAGGACAGAAAAAGATAATTTTGGAGTTGGGATGGGAAGTATGATGATCAATTTTCTTATGGTTACAGTAAGGTGACTGTAAATCATCCAAGTGGAGATGTTTGGCATGCACTTGAGTATAGGAAGTTGCACTGTGGAAGAAAGGCCTGGGCCATAGTGTCCTGGGCATCTACACTTTACAGTAACTAGTAGTAAGCACAGGCATTTCTAGGAGGGAGTGGTAAACACCACCAATGCAGCAGACATACAGACTGATAAGGGTCCATTAGATTTAGTAATTAGGTCCAAGTAGCTCAGGAAGTGAGCACCAAATTGCAGTAGGTTGAGGAGTAGGAGGTTAGTGAGAAAATTAAGACTGTTGATTGAGGACTACTCTTTTGAGATGGGAGAGGAAGGAGCAATAAGCTCATAATAGCCTAAAAGAGAATTGCAGGGTCAAAGCTGATTTTTCTTATGCTATTGTTACTGTTGTTTCAAGATGAGAAAAACACATCACATTCATAAATTGAAGATCAAGAGCAAACAGAGCAAGGGAGAGGCTGGGATGAGGCTCCAGCGAGGCTGTAAGAGGTAGCTGCAGAGTACATGAGGAGCAGCAGGCTTTGAGGAGGGGCAATTCCACCTAATCCTCAGACTGGCGAGAGGGTTGACTGCAGCTGCAGATCAGTTCATGAGGGCTGGACCTCAGGTCACGAGGGAGACCTGTTGGATGCCTCCATGTGCTTGAGGATGCTAGGGTGAAATAGGGAGAGGGGGAAGGGCTTGAGGTGAGTGGTAAGGTTTTAGAATAGTCAGGGAATGAGAAAATGGTCAGAAAACAAGCAGAAGTTCAGACAAGCAGAACTGAGGTCTAGCCTGAGATTAAAAATCATACCTCTGCAGTGGCAGCAATCCTCAGGGCTATGTGGTTTTCTCCAGCAGAGCTCAGCTACGCGGGCTGAGAAGCAGGGGAAGCAGAGTGGGGAAGATCAATCCCAGCTTGGGCATTTGTAAGTCAAATACAGCCAAAGGATGAGCAGAGCTGAGAGTGCTTATGAGTGGCTAAAGTGATCAACCACAGACAGGACTGGGCAGAATCAAGGTCAAGGGAAGGAGGGAGATGGAGGGATGGAGATCTGGATGCAGGCAAAGAGCAAGTATTATGAGATGTGAGGGTGAGAACTAGAAGCACTAGAGGTGGGATGCTCGGACATAAGTTTTCAAATGTGGAACAGTTCTGAGTGATGGAAATGGATTGTTGACAGTAGTACAAAATGGAAGTCACTGGATGAGCTGCAGTGTCAGGTGCGTCACCCAACTGAAACAGACAATGCTTCAGAAAGCAGAAAGAGAATCAGGCACTAAAGGCTTTCATGAAAATGAGGGATGTGGCTTGAGGTCAAGAAATGGACAGAGAAAAGGAAAGGGAGACAACCACAAGTATTTACAGGAACCACTGCAATATTCACTTTGATCACAGAACCCAGGGCAAACTGGGTAAAAGGGGAGACACAGGATGTATGGTTAACCTGACAGGTAGGCCCAGAATCAGAAAGACTTTTGAACGTTAGGCTAAGAAGCCTTAACTTCACCAGGAAGGCAATAGGAAGCTGCTGGCTGAAGGGTATTGGACAACTATCAAAGGTACACTTTAGGAAGATAATAGAGACAGCACTGGCTTTGGAGTCTTTAGAGCTGGGTTCCATAATAAAACAGCAGCTATCATTTATTACGCACTTACTCTGTGCAGGTCACTGTGTTAAGCTGGATTCACTTCAGCCAGGTGTTAAGCTGTATGATCTTAGGTGAGTATATATCTCTCCCTTCCCTAAACTCTTTTCTCCCATCTGTTAGTAGGAGACTGAACTAGATATCCTTGAAACGGCCTTCCAAATTGGGCATTCTAGGACTGTGTCGTCCTAAAGCTTGCAGGGCCTCACCCTCTTACCAGATGATATTCAAGAGACTTACAGCTGAAGGAGTTGAGGGCTGGCCCAGCAAGGTGAGCCCAAACAGGACTCAACCACCTGGGGCCAGTCAAGGGAGACAGAGCAGTTGAATAGCCTCCAGCTTCTTCTTGCTTCCCATTGGCTTGCAGAAAATCGATGAGCATTTGGCCCTAGAAGAGAAGAGGCCCTAAGGATAAGAAACCAGTGAGACCCCACTCATTTTTACCTTGATGAATTCAGCCCTGTCCTGCCCTCTTCCCAAAGACTGACCACCCCATACTTCACAGCTGCTTAAAGCAACCAGGACACTTTGCCCCAACCTATTTTAGTTGGCTCTGACAAGAAAAGTGAGAGCTAACACTGATTCCCTCAGGGCTCTCCTGGACAAACCTAAATCTTTTTTGTTTTGTTTTTTATCCTTTTTGACACAGGGTTTTACTATGCAGTTCAGGCTGGTCTCGAACTCACTCTGTATCCCAGGCTGGCCTCGCTCGAAGCAATCCTGCCTCAGCCTGGGGTTACATGTAGACTTGTGCCACAACCTAAATCTTTAACCCTTGAGGTTTTTCAACAGAACTGTGAATATCGGTAAACACTTCAGCCTGGGCTGCCTTAGCCCCTGAGGCTAGGGCTAGTCTCCCTCACCAGACTTAGTGTTGGCCACGATCAGTTCAATGGTCCATCTAAGGATGTAGGTGGGCCGGATCCCGCTATCCCCCAAGGCTGGCAGCTCAGAGAACATCCTCTCCAGCAGGGCCTGTGTGAAGGTCTGGGAGTGTAGGCCCCTGAGCAAGGGCTGCCAGAACTGAGAGAATGGCCTTGGTACCAAGATGTCATTCAAGTCCACGTTTTCTGTTTTGTGATGGAGGGAGGATAAGGAGAAGATGGAGACAAAGAGAAAACACATGGGGGCCAAGCCCCAACCAACAATAGAATTGACATCGAAGTAAAGAGAAGAGAAGAGAGAGAGAAACCAGTTAGCATTAGGCAGCCAACAACTGACTCAAATAAAGTATAAAATAAAAAGAACTCTGGTTCTAGCTTCAACTTTTGTCAATTAACTCACTGCATGACTATGGATCAGTACCTTTCCCTCTCTGGACCTCAATAATGACCATCTGTAACATGAGGATGTTGAACTACATGATGTCACAAGGCTCTTCCAGTACAGCTGTTCTAGCTCTCTAGCCAGAGGCTACATCACAATTAATATGGCACAGCACTGAGATTCTCCCAACCCTAACCATCACACCCTATCCCACCCAATTATATAGGCCACCTAAGGATGGCCCCATAACTGCCTTATCAGTAAGGTGACTTGTTCTACTCAGCCAGAAGGGTTGAAGGGTTTCCACCCTTAACCCAGTGTTCCCCAGACCACCTCTGGTATTCCCACCCAATAAACATAGAACCCCAAGGCATCAAAGAGCCCCTACCTTCATACTCTATCTGCAAAGCTGCCAACTGCTCAAACGTGGGAATGAGAAAGCCATCATCCAAAAAGGCATCCAGCACTGCATTCCTATAATAAAAGGACACTAGTTTAGCTGGCCATAGTGATGAACACAGGAGGATGAGACAGGACTGCTTTGTGTCTAGGAATTTAGGGTCAGCCTCAAAATACTAAGACTTTATTTCAAAAAAAGGTAGGCCATTGCCAAATATAGTGACTTGGTCTATTAGTTATTTTAAGCTGAAAAGACTTGAGGATCAAGGGCTCAGGTTTTTCTCAGTAGTAGAGCACTAGCTTGATCACAGGTACACAAAAATTAAAAGAACACTAGTTCAGTAAACTGAACCTGACAGAACCTTACCTATTCCCCTTCCCATCTCCAAAGCTGTTAACATCTCTCGTTGAAGTGGCCAAAGTAGCCTTGCAGAAGATGGGGCAAGTAAGAGTTGATCTTAGGCTTTAACCTCCTGAATAAGAGCTGAGCCAAGAGATGAGATCAGTGGAATTTTAACATATATTTATCAAGAATATGCTGATCTAAAGCCCCAAATGTGGGCAGCAGTGGCTGAATATGCCTGAAAACACAGATGGAATGAAAATATCAAGCCTACAGAAGAGTTAAATACCTCAGGTCATGGTCAAGGGCTTTCAGACTTCAGTCCCTGCATTTTTTTTTATTTCTCTTATTTCTAACCATTATCTAGTCCCCCAAACTGTCCATAACCCACAGCTGCTTTCTTCTAGATCCTAGCAGAAATTTTGGGGACTCAATTTCGGCCCAAATATGATCCCCAGGCTTTGTTCCTAGAGACTCCAAGAATCCAAAACAAAATTAGAAGGAAAAAAGTCTCAAAAGTATCTTAGTGCCTGAAGGGTTGACACTACACTCAAGATTCCTTCCTATAGAGGATCAAATTTGAAGAGAAAGTAGTTATCTCATGTCAGTATCTAAGAATACTTTCACCTACCAGGTGCTTATGTAGTACTACTGGGCAGGAATTACATTATAGGGGTACAAGGATGGTTCTCCCATCACAATCTACTCCTTTGCTGAAGGGTAGGGTTAAGAAATCTAGGCTGGGATATGAATAAAGAGAAAAGTCTAGGGGTAATCTCAGCCTACACTGAGTGAACTTGATCTGTAATATCCAGGCACTAAGAAGGCACTGCATCTGCCCCAACTACCCAAGGAATGCTCATAACCTACAACAGTAGTTTCAAACAGACTAGCAGCGCCTACCACACATCTTTTACCTCAGACTTGGGTCAATTCCTCGGCAGTGAGGTGCTAAGAATTATGAGCTCTTCGTACTGGCCAAGAGTATCTGATAGGAAAACATCTGGCTAGACAATACACGACTAGAATGGATGACAATGGATATTCCTCTCAGTGGCCATTCTAGTGACTCACAGTAGGCAACTGTCACCTGGTAGCTGGCAGAAGCAGGCACAGGAGGTCATGCAGACCACAGGGTTACCATGCAGGGGACCAGGATTAACCTGCATTTCTTACACCATAGGTTGGCAAGCTAGGACAAGGAAACATATTTCAACAGGTTTGCTACCCTCCTCCCTAAATAGCAGGTACCCCCTTGATTACCTACTTACATACCTGTTCTCCCAAGCAATGCCCTTGAGCTCTGCCAAGATGCTTTCTACACATGGAGATAGATTATTCCACACCTTAATGGCCTGAGGGAAATGTTTAAATTTCTCCAGCACCTGCCAGTATAAAGTGTACCATCAGAAGGCTAATTTAGCCACACAACCCACTCCCAACCCTCCAGAATCTCTTCCCATAGAACGTTAACACTGCCATCTGGGGGACAGGGCATTGCATGCAGGGGTAGACCCATAACTCCCTTGTTGGTACTACAACAAAAAATAAAACAAACACAAAAAGCCCTCAAGTAACAGACATTTTTCTCCTCCTGCTTCTATCCCTCTCCTGAATTCTCTGTGGTTTCCAATTATTAGATACATCAATGATAATATGTCCCATGAGAGCATTTAGTTGGAGAAGAATCAAGCTCTTTGGGACCAAAAGATGAGAATAAGCAAAGGCAATGGGTTACGGAAGGGAGTCAGGAACCCTAAGCTCTTATCCTGGTTCTTTCAATGACGATGTATGTGACCTTGGATCTATCCCCTCACTCATCCATAGCTTTGATTTCTTCATCTGTGAATAGAGAGAGTTAAACAGTTTCTAAGTTACCTCCTTACTAAAACTGCACTCCTCCAGCTTACCTAATCTTCCACCCCACTTGCTGGTCAGATGTGGGACTGTTTATTCCCAGTTGTTTTCTGTCACCCATGGGCAGATTCTCCACAAACTTCATCATCTGCTCCCTTCCGTCAGTGTGGAGGATCACCCAATTGGACTCTGTTCCTCTTGTCTCCTTCCTACTTCACCCCTATCTTTCTGAGAAGTTCCCTCATGCTTTGTCACTATCCTTTCAACTTACTTCTCAAAACTTTTCTGTTAGCTGGAAAGAGGGAAGAAATGGCTTGGGCAAGTGAGAACATGTCAGGTCAAGGGTACTTACCTTAAATTGCTCCTCTTCATATAACACTAACAATTCTCGGGCTCTTTCTGAAAGCAGAATGGGAGATAAATAGAGCAGCCGGCCCAGCTCACAGCATCTCCTGAGAGTCTAAGACTCCCTCACTCTATTTGAGGGGTTGTAAACTGAGAAGTAGAATTCCTTCTCCACATACTTCATAGAGACTAAGAAAGATGATTTATGAGGCAAATGTGATAACCATTATTCCATGGAAACTAGCCTAGGTGGTTTTTAAGCCAAAAAACATCAGTCACAGTGATACTGAGATAGGGAAGTAGCCAGCACTAACTCTTAGACTGAGCAGTCCAAGCTTATGGTTACCTCTTTGCCACCACAGACACCTACCATATAACTCCTTATGACGCAGAGCCTTGTCCCAATGAGAATCTACCTCTTCATTGCCTTTACTGTTTCCATCAACTTTGACATCCAACTCTGCATCTTTCCCATGGTCCTTAGGCTCTAATCCCTGTTCTGTGATATCATCAACACCAATGTTCTTATCTTCCTCTTGGTCTTCTTCCATATCTGCCTTATCCTCTTCCAACTCCCAGCTGTCTCTCAAGCTGTTCTCTAGTTGGTGGCACCAGTAGGTCTTCTGGAGCCAATCCAGGACAAAGTAACAGCCTAGAAAAGATAAGGAAGGACAGCAGTGCCACAGGACCACTCACAGGCAAACAGCTAACAGGTCCTCAGCCTTCTACACCTCATTTTGTGAGCATTATGGAAAAAGCCTTATGGAAGAGGCTTGGTTCCAAAGCTCAAATCTCTCATCTCCGGATATAGCCATTCTCACCCTGGGTTATCCCCATTTGTTGCTTTCTTGCATGTATCAGAACCATTCCTAGAAAAAACTTGTACATGACTTAAGAGATGTGAAAAATACAGCAAAGGTTGGTAAGCAGGAGAACTGGGACCCATCCCTGCTAGTTTGTTACACGGCCTTAGCCAAGTCTCTTTCCTTTTTTAGTCCTGTTTCCCTGTTTCAAAGGCAAGATTAAATTAGGAGTTCTTAATTGAGATGGCCCAAACAACTCCTTGGTTATGAAATTTTTAATGGCTCATAGCTCTTAACTTATTCCTTTTGATCCTGCTAGGATTAGGATAATGAGAAAGCAAAATTTATGGAGAAGTAAAAAAACTGTAAGTAAGGTATCAAAGCAGGATCAGAACAGTTCTCTACTAAGCCATATGTGAGCCTGAAGCAAAAAATTCAGTAACATTCACCTTTTTCTATTTATCATAGATTTCTCCACATTAAAATGCTATTAATCATGATCACTGAACTTTGATGCCCCCTTAAACTTTACACCCAAGGTAAGCCTTTCACTTGTTTCACCGTAGTATCTACCCTGAACCCAGGTGGTAAGTTCCTTCTTTATCTGACGACCCCAAATGCCACAGAGCCCAGGTCTTACCTGTAGCAAGTATAACCCCAGGGTCTTACCTCTGCGACAGTCATTTATATGGGGCATTTTCTTGTGTGTCAACTCATGGCGAAGTTCAACAATCCAATCTGGAATGTTTACCTGACAGGGGGAGGTGATATAGAAATTGGAATATTAAAGCTGGAAGAGATGCAGAAATAAATTAGCCTGACCATTTCCTCTGTTTTACAGACAGAAAAACTGAAGTTCTGAGAGAACAGTCCAGTCTTACTGACAGGACCAGGATAAAACCAAATTTCCTGATTTTTTTTAGTCTTTATTAGAGGTGGTCTTAAAAATCAGAAAAGGCACCCTCCCTACCATCAACCACTCTCCAACAGAAGAGTGATTGAGCACTAGCACTCAGCTTCTCCAGTCTTCTTCAGTGCTTTCTCTCTTAATGGGTCCCCTTACCCTTATTTTCCTCCCCTACTTCCTCCAATAAGCTTCTCCAGATGACTGAGAACAAACTTTCCATATGACCCTCACACTACATACTCATTCAAGGCAGGAATCTCTGGCATTTTCATGCTACTTAGCGGAGCTATCTCCTCCCTCAGACTATCAGTTCACAAAGACAAGGCGATATGACTGCTAACTCTTTCTTGGCCCCACATAGTGACATTTGGGCTCTTCAGCTTCACTGGGCCATTCCCAGCAAGCTAGGCTCACCAATTCTTTTGAGATACAAGTCATAAAGTGTAAGAGAACAAATGTGGTTCTTTTAAACTGAAAGCAGAAGCTATGGGGTTTTTGCTGGCCTTGGCTAGTAGTGATGGGATGAACTAGTCTGACTGTGTGCATACTTTACCCCATTTACCACTTAAGAAGCTTTCCTGAAGAGAACTGAGCAAGGCCATTTATCTCACATACCTCCTGAGCCAGAAACTTGAGTGGGAGCTTGGTAAACTTTGTCTTCCTTTCAGAGAGAAGATTCACAAACCTAGTATAGGGGGAGAAGTAAGTTGCAAAGCCCAAGCAACATTTTGCTCAATTACTGAAATGTTACATTTTCACAACTTTTCAATTGACTATTCTGTTCTTATGGTTGGTGTTAACCAGTGATGGGATAGTTCCATCCGCTTCAAAATTTACTGAGTCTACTGTGTACCAAAGCCATACAGATAAATGAGACACTGCCTTGGCTTCCTAAATTCAGCCTAAGAAAAATGATACAAGAGATTATACTATAACATAATATGTTATAGAAGCTACAATGGAGGACTATATTAGATTACATGGGGAGCACAACTAAATGATGCAAAAGGTAAAAGGAGAAAGGGAAGCTCTCAAGGCAGACATCAGGTTAGTATGAGATGAGTGAAGACTTTGACATATGAGAAAACTCAGTGGCAACCCTTTCCTCATGTATATGGGACAGCTATAACTACTATTGTTACAGAGTGAGTCACTCTGTAAGTCAAGAACTCCCAGCCCATGTCTTCACCTTTCTCAACTCTGCAACCTTCCAGTGCTCATGGAGGAGAGAAAATAGAAAAGGGTGGTGCTAGGTGTAGATGGAATAAAGCTGGAAAATTCAAACTAAATCACAACCATGGGCAATGAATCACTCAGAAAACTTCCTCTGGTTGAGGAGTAAAAGGAGAAACGACAGACTACCAAAGTTGTAGGACACCCAATAGAGATCACCTGGTCTGAATCTTTCCCACTTTGCTACACATATACATTCTAAAAGGGAGGAAAAATGGAAGAGAGGGGGTTCCAGGAAACAGGAAGGAAAATGGAAGTACCAAAAGCTGTTAATTCAACAAACTACAGTCTGACTTATACTCAGAGACTCTAAACAGTCTCTGACTCTCTGAAGCAGAGACTTTCTGTTTCAGATACCACTTGAAGCCACACTTTGCTTATCGCAGGCTTACCACACTCCAGTTCCCAAAGCCACCCTCACCCACCATGCAGGTCTTACCTGACCAATGCCATCCCATACAGCAGTCTAAGTTCATCAGTGCCCAAGCCACCAGTTACATCCATGAGCTTACAGCGTATCAGGTCAGCAGTAGAAGCCACTGCCAGGGGGAGTTCGTTGCCTAACCTAAAGGGCCACAATCCAGCACCATCACAAAAGTCCTTTATAGTGATTCATCTTCTCTACCTCAGAATCTTGGTTGCTGCAGGACATTCCCACTATATACTGTCTCAAGAGTGCATGAAGATTTCAAACAAAAAGGTGAGAGAGACAAAGTAATGTCCGTAAGATCCAACATTAGTATTGGGCAAAGAGGCTGACTAGGCTGTACACAAAACACCTATTTGCTAGTCTGCCAATCAACAGTTGTGTGCACTCACTCCTTTCACCTTGAAACCCTCAAACCCCACATCCCTTGTTAGTTTGTCCTCAACCCAACATTTAACTGGTCAGAGGCACCTCACTCAAAAATGTTTTGAGGAAACAGACCTTCTCCCACTCCCCCTAATTCGAATCATTTTTAGGTAATTCCACCGTTAGGTGTTAATCTCCTTAAACCCTGATTCAGGCCCTCCAGCACCCTCTCCAAAAAAGCAGGAAGTTTACTTTTTGGAAGTAAAGGTTACACCTTACAGATTTAACAAGAGGACTGCTGAGACATATCTTTTAATTTTCCCCACAAACGGAATTTTTGCAAAAGCTAGCCTAAGATTTCTCCCCCCTCCACGCCCCGGGTAATTAGAAGACCTGAGACTAGGGCCTTTTAGGAACTCGACAAAGAAAGATGTGAAGAGATACCAGCACACAGGCAAAAGGTCTGAGCCCGCCTCCACCTTACCTGCTCCTCCACACCGTGATGCGGTTCAGCGCATACCGCTGCAATTTATGGTCATCACAGAAGAGATACACCGTCACTTGATCCCATTCAGCCCTGTTGAGCCAAGCGACCGCGATGGTCTGGGCCCATGGTGGTGTCGATCTTTTTTCTTTGATACACTTTCCGTACCACGTACTCCATACTCGATCCATCCCTCAGACACTCAGCTCTAACCCTGCACAGGATTTCTACCAGAAAGAGGATCGTAGCCAGGCTCTGAGCCGGGACCTTCCACACAGTCCTTCACTCAACGTGCTACCCTCACTCCAAACCGCCGCCGCGACAAAAGCCACTGGGAGAGAGTACCCGAATCAAACCCGCCTCCTAGCGCTAGTGTAGCCAATCGGAACGTGGGACCGGGGAACCGCTTTTGGCACATGGGTATTACGTCATCTCTGTCCGGAAGTGTTCTTATCCCAAAGCAGCTCGACCAGCTACAAGTGTCTAGCCCCTAGGTTCCGCTAATTTCTAGGTTGCTGACCGATTTCTGTTCAGATCGCAAAGGGTGTATTTGGATCACAAGAAAATATTTTGCGCCCCTTGGCGGGCAACTGTGGAGTTGTGATCAACCGGTGAACTTCCTAGTTCGCTTTTAGGTAAGATTTTATTTCTGTGAATCAGGACCTAATCCAATGAACACATTAGATACTGAAGCTGAACTACATAGCAAATACCTAATGCACAGTTAAAGCTTCATTTTTACAAATCTGCTTTCTTAGCAAATACTCTGGGTCCCTGTTTTCTAAAGTAGTACCATCCTGTTTCTGCAATGAAAGGAAGCCTGAATTGTTTTGAGATTATAAGGATTTAGAGTTTCGCTTAAATTTGGCAACTGTGTGATCTTGCGCAAGTCTCTGCCCCTCTCAGTTGTATTCTGTGTTTTTTAAATCTGTACCGTGAGGGTTTTAGACTGGTCTCTACTTTTGTTCGATAGCTTAATATGTTAGGATTTTACTCTGACATTGGTTTCAAAGTCCTTAATGGTATATCCCCCCCCATTACTCCTTGAGATTTGAGAGTACTGGTTTGAAAACAATATTATAAAGCCCTTCCAATTTTACAGGTTGGCTACAATGGTTTTAGAACCCTGTCCAAATCCTCATGGGAGTTATTTCTTGTTTAACCCTTGATAGATGACTGTTGGTAGCAGTCTTAATATTGTTGATAGTTGACAGGGCATGGGGGCACCTGCTTGTAATCTCAGGAGGCTGAAGCAGGAGGATCCTGAAAGGTTGAGGTCAACTTGTGCCTGAACTACTTAGCAAGACTGTCTTAAAAACAAAACAAATGAATAACAACCATGAAAGTCTTAGGACAATAGTGGTGACACTGTGGCATACATGCCACAGCAGGCATGTGGAGCCCTCTCTGTTGGCACATGAGCCAAGTTGCTCCAGCATTGCACATCCCCATAATTCTTTATGGGATGCTGAAGGATAGGATGGCTTTATCTTCTATTAGCTTTTTCTCATCCTCAGTAAAAGGAGAAGGTAGGATTTTTAAACATTTTTATTTATTTTTAAAGAGAATAAAACCCAACAAAACAAAACAGAGTAAAGCCAGTAAAAACAAGGCAGTGAAAGTGCTACAGAACTTTGAACCAGGATAATAGGAAATCAATAATGGCTACCATAATATATCTTGTTATCTTTACAATAGTTGTCCATTCCAGCAGACATAGTAAAATCAAGTAAAACAAAATGGAATAAAACCAATCAAAACAGAACACTGAATAAAAAAATAATAAATTGGCACAAAACAGTGAGAATTAGATTTCATAAACAAGACAGAAGGAAATCCTCCTTATTTGCTATATTGCATACTGTTCTCCTCTCAGTAAATGCTCAGACCATTGGCCCCAGGCCAGCAACGTCAACTGAACAATACAAGCATTCAATTTGTTTTTGTGTCTTAGTTGCTATCAACTCAGCCTGTCCTCCAGACCAGCTGGTTGCTTACAGGGTGGGAGTGTTCTTGATTTTCTGCTTGCCTGCAAGGTGCTATCTGGCTTCTCTCTGCCTGAGACCTCCATGGCTTGTGCACACTGTTCATGTTTCTAATAATAAGTTTCCTTTCTTTGAGCATTCTTCCTATGGCAATAGTCTGACTAAAATCATTTCCTTAATTACCCTGTGTATTTTTCCTTTTTGCTGAAGTTGAATTTGTTTGCATTAGATTACAAATGAGAAAGCTGAAGTTTAGCTGCATGGCCTAAGATAACACCATTAAGAATGGAATAGTGATTTCCTTACAGTTCTCTGTGGCTGTCCACAGTAGAAACCCCAGTGCTTAACAGCGTGGGCCCCAAATAATCACTGAATAAATCCTATCGACACCCACTAAGGCAGTATTTCTAAAACTTCCTTTTTGATAAATAAAAAGAACTCAAGTCTTTTTGATAAATAGAAAAGCAAAACAAAACAAAGCTTATGTGAATGGCTGGCATGCTTGGCGAAAGGAGATTGCTACTTGTCCAAAGAAATAGATCCTCTGAGGAATTTTAGATCTGATGGTGAGAGTGAAGTTATGTTTCTTTCAAAACTGCCAGCCTTCCAAATCCCTAAAGTGTCACAGTTTTCTCAGAGAAATGAATAGCTGTCTTAGTCACTTTGCTCATTGCTGAGAAAAAATGCTCAACATGTGCAAGCAGAGGGAGGAAAGGTTTATTTAGCTCACAGTCTGCAGCCAGCCCATAGGCAGCTGGCTCCAAAGCAGGGTGGCATGGCAAACAGGCACCACAGAGGAGAAACAGTTCGTGGCAAGCAAGAGACAAGACAAGCCTCTTTCTGTACCTTATATTGTGTCAGCTACAGAGATTAAGGTGGTGCCAAACCAATCAATGCACTGATTTAGTGATCACCCACCAGCATGACACACTCTAGATTCAATCATCTCTAAAAAAGTCCCACCTATGACCACATGACATTTTGGGGGGATATTTAGACCCAATCCATAACGATAATCTATGTGATATATCATATCTATTGTTCTATCCAGAAGCAACTCAGAGCCAAGTGCTGGGAGTTGATAACCAGCTAATACATCTCAAATTAACTGCCTGTTTCTATTGTATAATCCTTTGTAGAATCTTAATATCCTAGTGAGGAAGCCTCCCACAGGTCATCCTACCTTGTTTCTGAACTAAGTAGATTGTATCAGTGAAATGAGAACCTGTGCCTTCTTAAATACTTGTTTTAGATGCTAATAGTGCTTACAGTAATAAGTGGTTCTCATCTAGCAACATTTATTTCACCTCTGTTGACATGGTAAACAGCATTATCAATTCAAAATTCTCACTCAGCCCCTATATCTCCCAAACAGGACCTCTGTTTCAATCTTCAGATTATGTATTCTTCCCTGAAGTACGAGTAGCTACGAGAAGATTTTAGGACATATATCAAGATATATCTTTGTAAGGTAATAGTTTTTTGAATATTTTTAGGTACAGAATGATTGTAAGAAATGCATTTTATTTCATAAGTAATTTCACATATACATGTGTGTAACTGAAACAAAAGTTCCACAAAAGAAAACATTTATTAAATACAAATCTACTGAAGGAATGGGGATGCAGCTTAGTGGCAGGGAAGTTGCCAAAGGCGTGTACAAGACTGGATTCAGTCACCACTGCTGCAAAAAAGATGTAATTCAACTGTACAATATTTTTTGCAAAATACTGCTCTTCACTGTTGTGTAAGGAGCTCATGGACATACATGAGTAACAAGTGAAAACCAAAACCTACACTTGTATCTAGCCTGGACGCACACTAGTAATAGTATTGAAATTACATCTTACTTTATGTCCCGACTTTGCATTTCTGTCATAATTAGCATGGCTTTATTTTTCTAGAATTCCCTACCCTTCCTTCCTTCCTTCCTTCCTTGCTTCTTTCTTTCTTTCTTTCTTTCTTTCTTTCTTTCCTTCCTTCTGTCCTCTCTTATTTTCTAGGGATCAAACCCAGGCTTTCTGCATGCTAGGCAATTGCCCTACCACTAAGCTACACCCCCAGCCCAAATTTTACATATATATGTGCAACTTATATGCAAAATATACTTTGAAAGCTGGGAAAAATTAATTAGGAGTGGATCAGAATGAATGGTAAGATGCATTACGATAGATCATATGTTTTGTGTGTGTGTGTGTGTGTGTGTGTGTGTGTGTGTGGAATTTGGGTCCTTGGACCTGCTAGACATATGTTCTGCCACTGAGCTTCACCTTCATTCCTGAAAATTTTCTAAGTAATTTTTTTCAGTTGTTTGTTTTGAGACAGGGTCTATGTAGTCCAGGTTGTCCTTGAATTTGGTATAGAGCCCAGGCTGGCCTTGAACTTTCAATCCTCCTACATCAGCCTCTGCAGTGCTAGCAGTACAAACACATACCACCATGCCTAGTCCTTTGTGAGAAATTTTTTTAAATTAATTTTACCACAGAGGTATATAACAATAACAAAACAAACCATCAAAAAGTGAAATACATTTCAGGTGTGGGGCTCATACCTGTAATCCCAGCTACTCAGAAGGCCCAGACAAAAAGATTGCAAAATCAACATCCCAAGGTATTACCTTAGTGAGATCTTAAAACAAAATTTTAAAAAGAGGAAATAGGATTTTGCTCAGCGGTAGAGTACTTGCCTAGCACGCATGAGGCCCTGGGTTTGTATCTGACATTAAAAAAGGAGCCTTGATTTGTGCTAGTGGCAATTTCTGTGATATAAATACTCTTGCCATGGAAGCTTTCAATCACCAAATGCAGAGTTAGAAAGAAATGCATGCATTTGACTTCAGCCTGTGTGAGCCAACTCTAGAGCCACACTGTGAAATTCTGGAGGACATGTGACATTTTCTTCTTGTTTTCATTTGTTCATTCTGGTGATACTGTAGAAGGATGTCTTTACTGGAAGTTCTGTACTGCACAACTTTATATGGAACCATTCACATTTACACAACGAGTGCATTTATAGCTGTGCAAAGCACAGCTCCTCTTGGTGGTCCTATTTTCTAGTACTGTTAAAATGATATTGATTTACTGCTTTGTAAGGCCAATTTAAGCATACAAGAAAAAAGTAATATAGATAATATAGTTGGAGCTATGGGGCTGCTTCCCTTCACTCATTGAAACCTGAGCAACATCCCAAGGTATTACCTTTCCTCTAAGTCTTACTGTATAGAGGCAGAGATAAAAAAAAAACAATGACACCCCCATTGTCCCACCCTGAAAATTTTCAGTTTCAAGCCAGAATACATACACACCAGATCTGCCAACATGACCTACAGTAAACTTTTTCTCCTGTAGCTCATTGAAGGTTTGTGCATATAGATTACCTCTCACTACATACATTTATAACAAGGTAAAATTTTAAAAAGTACATATACAATACACACAGCATCCTGTCAATCATATCAGTCATGCTCTAAAATACCACACTGAGAGACACCCCCAAAGCAACAACATTTTAAACCCTTATATCCTATGTCCTCTGTGTTTATGCCATTTACCTTTTACAAGCATGAACCTGCTCACTAAACATACTATCACTTTAGTAAACTTTGCTACTTTTTCCTTATAATCACATGCCACATCCAATATTTTTGCTCATCACATAAGAATCTAAAATCATATATTTGACCCTATCACCCATGATACCAGAAGTTCTGAAATTTCAGTACATACCAAAATTACCTGATGTGCTTGCTAAAACTCAGATTGCTGTGCAATAATCCCAAAGCCTCTGATTCTGTAGGTCTGGATAGAATCCAGTATTTTTAATTTCTGATGAGCCCCCTACTTGTGGTTATAATAATGATCTATGGACTCAATCTTTGAAAAACACTGCTTTGTAACAAAGTGCATATTTTCTCTGTGATAAGGAAATAACATGTTGGTGGTTCTCAATTACAGTTTTTGAGGAATGCCCATGTGTTTTCTATAGTGGTTGTACTAGTTTACACTCTGACCAATGATGTAGAAAGGGTCTTTTCTTTATTGGCTGCCTCACCAACATTTGTTATTATTTGATTTATTGATACCTCTTCTTTCCAGAGTAAAATGAAACCACAAGGTTGTTGTTTTAATTTGTATTTCTCTAATGGCCAGGGATTTTAACACAAGCTTAAATATCACATGATTTCCCTTATATGAGAAACCCAAAATAGAAATAATTTAGAGGACAAAGATAGATAATAGGAAACAAGATGATAGAGCTTCTGCAAATTAGAAGATGATCTGAAGGAAGAGGAAAGGGGAGGGAAAGGTGGAAGGGGAAATAAAAAGAATTAAAATGTTATATGTACATACCAACTCACTATGATGATTATAATCATTATGTACTGCAAACATGAACTAACAAAAATGCCTTAGGGAATAGGGGCTCAAAATAGAGTAGGGTCCCAACTCAAACACCGACCTGACAACTGGCAGGTAGCAGAAGTATATGTACTGGCTAGCTCAGATTTACAGAATGCTACTTTTATTTCTCCCTTCCCCTCCTACTACTCTTCCTTCTCCTTCTCTTCCTATTCCTTCCTATTCCTATTTTTCTATTCCTTCTACTCCTATTCTTTTTCTTTCCTCTTTTTCTTTTTCTGCTCCTCCTCTTTTTCTTTCTTCTTTTTCTTCTTCTTTGAGATAAGACTTCACTATGTTACCAAGGCAGGTGTCAGGTTCAGGTGTCCCTGAGCTCAAGGGATCCTCCTGTTTCAGCTCCCCAAGTAGCTGAGACTACAGGTGTGTGCCACCCTGCCTAGCTGAAAAAGTTACATTTTGTAAAAAGATAAAATAAAAATTTAACATTTGGGATTAATTCTTTTGTTTTGAATTTTAGGGGCACCGTTCCCACCCTAGCTTCACCCAGATTTCTCCTCTTCAAGTTTTTTCCATTCTGAGGATGAAACCCAGGATAATATGCATGGTAGACAAGTGCTCTATGGCTAAGATACATCTTCAGCCTCTGGTTTGTCTTTTAGAAAGGACAAACTGGCCAAGCTTGAAGTCATTGTGTTGTAGTCTAGCTTCGGTCCTTGTTTTTAGTATGAAAAGAAACTTAAACTAAAGCACAAATTTACAGAAGCAAAGTTTTAGTTGAACAGTAAAAGTGAAGATAAGAAAGGACTCCAGTTTAAGTAGCTGGAGGGTGTTAGAGTTTTTTGGCACAATACAGAAATGAAAATAAAATAAAAACAGGTTTACAGAGGACATGAACAGGAGCACACAAACCATGATGGTTGGGCTATCTCCTTCGACCAGATTCAGAGAGGCAGAGGGTTATATGGCCTCTGATTGGAAGTGGTGCATGGGGCAGGCACTGATGATGTGTGAGGAACTGATTGGAATTTTCTTTGCATGAAAACAGGAAAGGGAGTTACAATTAGGGCTGAAGAAGAAGGAAGAAGTGGTAAGCACCCCTGGTTTAGCCTTCTGCCATGTTAGACCACGACCATAATTGTATAGTAATTTATGCTAGGGCAAGAGCCTTTTATTCTTGGCTTTGTATTGTTAGGAAAAGGGTGAAAACTGTCTCTTATGATTTCCTATTGAATGGAGGCGTTGTGTTGGGACTTTGGGGTGGTTGACAGGATGATGGTTGATGCCCATGTAGAAGCTAGTACCAGGTGTTTTAGCAAGGACAAAGAGTTTTTTGTTGGTGAATGCTCACATCCTAGATTGGAGAAATAAAAAGAAAAGGTGCTGTGAGAAGGCAGGTCACTATCATAAGTAAAGGACCTAGGAGAGGTAGAAGGAAAGCTACCCTTGAACCGAATGTGTCATTCCATCAGGGCCATGTTGAGGAAGAATCTGAAAAATAAGTATGGAGTTGGGAGTTGTGGGGTTACAAGAGGTAATTATTTTTTTATCTGAAGGGGTGAGAGTATAGGTAGGACTTGTCCTTAATTTAGGGGGTTGAGCTGGAGAGACTGGGAAACATGAGAAATGTAAAGCCTGACAGTTGAGTAATGTTTGGGAAATTATAAACTAAAGATGGGGAGGGTTGTGGCTGCACCACTATAAGTGAGACAAGATCTTAGACCTACAGAAGTCTCATGTTTAACTAAATAACTGAGGGTGGAAAGAACTAAGATAGTTGTTATGTAGAACAGCATGAAAACAATTATGTATAATGTGGGAGTGTTTAGTAAAGTCTGCCTAGAATTCTATAGTGAAAAATGAACTAATAGAATGTAAGGGATCAGGAACCAAATAGGATAACAAAGCATGATCTAGGTTGAAAATTGTGGCTGTGGGGTCTTCGTGAGATGGAGAAGGGAGATAGGAGATGAGATGGCCACTCAAGATGTTTAGAGTCAGGGGAGTTAAGGTTATGAGGGCAATGCTTAGCTTGAGTGATGTGGAACCAGAACGGCAGTCCAGCGACCTTGACCAGTGTTGAAGTTCTGAGGAAGACAAGGAAGGGCCTATTCCA